GCCCATAATCAACTCTCATAAGATCATCGAAAGGTCGAGATATAAAATGGATTAGATCACCGGCACCAATTGATTGGCAAAAATTAAACTGGGCATCCGAGACTTCGTTTATTATCATGGCAATGGTACTTGACTATCGAGATTATTTCGGCTAAATCTTGTAAAAAAATTCAATCACTCATTACTTTGCATAGAATAAAGTAATTTGATTGAAATTTTCAATATATTCATTCTTCAGCATCTATTGTGAACCATTATAGCGAGAACGAAAAGCTCTTTTTCTAAATCTTACATAATGGTTCTTTAATCAATCAACCTTGAAGATTATGTATATCGTCAAATCACTGTTTATCTAAAAAATAGTGTTTAGGACTAATCATTGATTGTTTTATTTGCGGCTCGGTAATACAGACCTCAGTACTTAAATAGTATGACGGAGGTCAGTTCAATGATAAATCTTATAGTCATACCACAATTACTGATAGATTACACCGTTATTGTAACGATCGTTTAAATATACAAAAAAAACGGGTCAATTGCGCTTTCTGTCACAAATTCAATATGTCGTTGTCGAGACCCCCGACTGAACCAGAAAATGATCTGGAAAAGTCGAAAAATCGATAGATTCATCATGTGAGCTATGTGAGGACTGGAGTACGTTTATCTGTTTTTTGAGAACCCATTGATAATGACAAAAGTTATCTGCTAAAGGTCGTGGTGATATGAGTTCCTATCGTGCAAACATTCCAAAAAAAAAATATTGAAGGGTAATATGACTCTTTTGAGGACAACATGTATTGGACAATAGGGTGCGTATCTTTCAATTGACAATACTAATCAATTAAGTGCTAAATCTAGTTAATGCTGTAATTTCCTATAGTTAGATCAATATTGTCATTAAATCCATTGTGTAAGATTATCGACGGCATGACTAGAAGATAATTGGGAGCATTTTGTAATTCTGATGAAAGGGCCATCTGATAGATGGTAGCCTTTGAGACAACTGTGGAACATGCTTGAAGATGACATTCCTGACAAGGACATAAAAGAGAAACACGGCATGAGAATTTAACGGTGTGCTTGCTTACCGCCTATCCAAATCTTGATTTTATTCTAGAAGCACAATCCATTCTGAACACTCAGCCCGACCTATCAGTATTCACCAAGGAACTAAATCTTATATTATATATAATATGCGAATTAAAATTTAATATTGATCCATTTTAACCAATATTGGCGTTGTTATCTTACCGTGAAAATATGGTATCCTAATATCCAATATTTAAGACACATTCAACATTTCAAAATCAGTCTACGACCTCGTGTACAATGCAGAAATGAATAAAATGGCTGATCACAAACGACAAAATAATAATAATAAATAAAAAGTGAATAATGGACTAAGCAGGCACAAACTGCAATTTAAACTCTTCGCGTATTTGATTGATTTTAATTGATTAAAAATTACAATATGAATTTAAAAATTGAGGTAAATCATTTTATATACACTCATATTATATTAATATTTGCTTTTAGAAACATTATAAGGTTCCAAAGAATAGAACTATACACCCATTAACATTTTCATTGGATATATCTTTACAAATTATTAACATATGATTAGTTCAAATATACGGGGGTTTCCTTTCCTACATTTACATGGAAAATGTAGAAAGCGGACACCAATACATTTAGATGTTTTATTCTTAAAGGGTTATGCACCAATTTTACGTATGTGATAAATCTGGTTAAAAACATTCCAAATAGAATTTTAATTTTCTTTTCTTCTCGTTATTTCTGACCACGTGACAGCCAATTCTTTTTAAGAATAGTTGGTTTCGAACATATTCATCCTCTACTAATCTCTTGCAACAACTTTTCGTCTTCACAGGAATTATCGTCTGTTTAGCTGTTACCACTACTTCTTCAGTCGGTAACAATTACTGCTTTCCTTTATTTGCGTCACTTTCCGATTCTTCGAAACTTTGTTACGGATAAAATGTACTATATCTGTGTTATATTTTGAATACATGGTATTAGCTAAAAGTAGGTATCAGATTAGTTATTATCCAACTGATCCGGTTTCCATTGAAACACCATAACCATGTTTCTATTTTGGTACCCTATATAGTTTTCATATTTTTGTATAACCGTTGATAATTGATTTCTCGAAAAGCTTAACTGATGCTTAATCGATGCAAGTTTTAATGATGTAAATGAAATGAAATGAAATGGAGTTTAACGTCCTACTGTTCTGCTCCTAACCTGGGCTAATGAAGACGGGCATACGCCATACAGTGTGCTATGAGGGAAATTTTGCCCGGACAGCGGCACTACGGCCTACTCTTATATCGAATTCCAACTGCCAAGGGATCTTTTACGTGCACGCCAATGTGTACACGGGACCTCGGTTTTTCGTCCCATCGAACGACTAGACAGCTTTCCTAGTCAGCCCCTCCGTCCTGCATCACTGACAAGGGAGAACCACGCCGGAAAATCTGGATGAACTTTCTCGGCCAATGCAGGGATCGAACACCCGACCTCCAGTAATGATGTAAAACAGCCATACCTTTAATAGAAGTATAAAGTAATAGCACCAGAGGGTTATCAACTATTTTGATTAGAAAACACACGTAGACGAATTAAAAGAATTGCCCATATATGTAAATATTATGATTTAGTTAGTTTAGTTACCATATTCCGCTTCTACGTATAGTATTACAACTTTTGAATCTTGGCGAAATGAAATGTAATAGACATTAGATTATAGCCAGAGTATTAGTTCGCCGGAAATGTTTTCTGTACGTATATCTGATATATTAATTACTGTTTTCGTTCCGTGCTATGTGACATTTCCTATATTTAATTCGATTACCAGAGTTAAAACAAAACATTTGCCGAGGTAGGGTCTATTATACGGATTTCCTTTAATATCCTTCTGTATACAAGCCAAACATTTTCTTATACTTTCCATATCTGTATGTCCAATTGGAATATCATTACAATAATTAAAAACAATGAGAAATATTACTTGATGCCAGATACATTTGTACATTAAAACATAAGACCTACTAGTCCTAATTTTTATTTTTCAATGGCTATTCTCTGGGTATTTAATTGAAATTTCCCGAGTTTACAAAAAATAGGAAATAATACTTGGAGGCCGGTCTAAACAGGGTAAATTGGCATTCCGTAGCGACAGTCACGTATTTAGCATTGCCTTCTTGTGGCCAGTTTATTACAAACTAAACACAATAAGTCACCCGAGATCCGTAAAAAAGGACAGGATATTTCATCTTTTATTCTTCGCTTTTTGGTCATTGAGAATACTTTATCTTCCAGGCGAACTATGTATAAGATTATAAATCTTCGAACATACCGCCATGTTGTCTTGAAGTTGTTTTTTGGGGATGCCATATTTGTAACACTACATATTTATGTCTACGAAACCATTTTTTTTATTTTACAAATGGTTTAAAAGTGCCACAATGATTTAATTGGACTACAATAAAAAAAATATTTGCTCAAGCCAAGGTTAAACCAATTAGAGCACATTTGAAGGTTGAAGAAAAACGATATATTTGATTTTAACTTTATTGTGATATCTAAATTATGGAAGTTGTTATTTTCTGTGCTAGAACGAAAATACACCCACTGAAATAATCGACAGGACAAATCGTGACAAACTAAGACATTTCGGGACTAATATGTGCTCAGTTTTATTTCAATGATTCTCTTGTGTGTAAGGGTCCTTAGCCGCGGGGTGAAAATCGGATATAGTGGAGAAACCCCGCGGGGTTAAGACGCCGAACCTATTCCTTGTCAGATGGAAACCATCCCACTGCAACCATCCGAGGATAGGTAATGGCGCAACACTGGTCTCTAGAATTCACGGAGGTACAACATGTAAAAACTGTAGTGTTAACTTCCTTGGCGATTAACCACCAGCATGTCAAATTTTATACCATAAATATAAGTTTCATATTTCGTAATCTATAAACTTTTTTTGTCCCTTGGTTAGAAGAGATAACACAAGAAGAAATATAAATCTAAAGATGAAAAATAGATTTCATCTGTCTAATTTTATTCTACTTAACAATCTCTGTAAACTAAGCTCCGCTTTTGATCATCAAATATGCTTAAGAGTCGTACGTGAGATGAATTGTGTATCATAATTTCATTTCTGGGCAGATCACACCGACTAGGATGTACTATAGTTAGTCTTCTAAATACATGTTCAATTGGCTTTCTCTCTGCAGGATCAAGAGACATCTTGCTGAAGACAGAAGACATTTATTGCCGATGTCACATGGGCTCAATTTGCACGCGTGGGAATTACCCCATCAAAATGACGCCATCATTTAAAGACTGCAACAAAGTCAAACGTTTCTGAATTCAGATACAAATTAATAAAAATAAATCCCTCCCCAATCATGACATTTTCATTGTAACATGATAACAATTAAGTTCTACTAGTTTGTAGGGACTGGCATATTTTATATCTCCATTACATACATACTAAATGTAGAATAATTGTTCAATTCTTCTTACACACTCAACGGCATAATGACCAATATCGCTAAGCAGTAAAGGTTGTGGTGGTGGTGTGTGTAGTGGGGGTACTGGTCTTAAGCAACAAACCGTATAACCCGGTAAAACCTATCCCTTGCAACGTAACCTACATACTTTATGATCTACGCAGTACACACGTTAAACCATTTTGATAGTAACCTACGGACCTCGATTTGTTTGTCCCATCTGAACGTCTAGGCAACACTTTCCAGCCAGTCCCACGAACGACACTCCTTTACATGTAGGGACCGAGCTTGAGAAATATCCGGACATCATTCTAGTCGGGAGCTCTCACAGGTCGACTGCTGTCCCAATATTGTAAAGTAAATATAAAAAAAAAAATAAAATAAAATATCCTACATGAGGCAGCATGTTTTATACTGAACATGAGAACTTATTTTTTAATCATCACGAATTCTTTATTTAAGATACGGCAATGAATTCGTACCTGAGTAAAAACTTTCGTATTAGTGACAATGGATTACAGTTGATTCTCAAACAGGAATTGGATAGAGAAGAAAAAGATAATATAAACTTTAATGTGACCTGTGACCTCAAAATAGATGGCCAATCAGTGGGAAGCAGCCAACAACCCTTTTTCGTCGTCGTTTCCGACGTCGACGACAATCCGCCATTCTTCCAAAGAACAAACCTACAAATACAGGAAATAAATATAACTAACGTAAGTATCATATGTTACAATATGTTTTATTATAAAATTGATTAATTTCTTTCATTTTATTTTGATGTAAAGGCATTAACAAAAGAATCACTAGACAATAGGCCTGACAGACCTCAGCAATTCAAGTAGCCCGTCATACGATAATTCGATTAACATGTTCCTGTCATTTTGATGCGTTTGGTTTACAGATACATTATGGGAGATATGATAACGAGTTGGCAGTTAAAAACGAGATAATGTAAAGGCAATTTGCTGAAAATTTCATTCAAATTGATCCACTATGAACCGAGAACTACGCGATTGAAATCTCCACCTATGTATCAGATAATAACACGGAACAAAATGTCGGTATAATTTTATCAACCGAATCGTTTATATTAAGTGTAAAATAAACACACGAAACGACTGAATATGGCTAATTTACAATAGATATAATATTGTACTGACAAGACCAATATTATCAGATATCGTAGTCTAAAGATAATATTTACTGTCACTTGTAACGTTGGACTGTGTTTGATTTAGTTCATGTAGTCTGGAACACTTAAGTGGAACTGATAAAAGTATATTTGAAGTCCAAGAAAATTCCATACAATGGGTCGTTTCAAGTTGTGGGTCAAGCAAAGATGAGTTAGTGTCGAGTTCGTGTCAAGACACTATTGAGTTTTTATACTTTGGTTGTAAATTTACACACGCATTTTTAACATTTTGTTTTTCAAATTAAGTTATTAGGGTGTTCGTTAACCAGAGTCTTTAACTAGGGCATCAACTCGAGCATATATCCAAACTCTCCGAATCAAAACTTTGGTAGGTTAGGTCATCAAGACATCTGCTTGCTATAAGTTTTAACACACTGTAAGTTCAACTCAACAAACATAAAACGGAAATAAACTTAAATCCTATAATGTTGGTTAATGTTCTAATGCCCATTTTCACTATGGTATAAATTATTAACATAGAAGTTTTTGGTATTTTACATTTTGGTATGATTTGATATCCTATACACGAAAGTTAAATTTGTAGGATAACACCAGACTGGAAATCAGACCGAAACTAACCCAGTGGATGATTGGCAGATTAGTCTCAAATATTGTGCGAAAGCTAACTTGAGCAGGCGCGAAGTAACATTATAGACAAAATAACGTCAAATCGAAAATAACTTTTCCCCCCAAAGTGCCAACAATTCTGTAGAGTGGCCTCTGGGGATTTTCGTTTGTTAGTAATAAAAAAGATTTCGTGTTGGTGTCAATTCTAATTTACGAGTTTAAGAGGCGCTTTGGTTTTCCAACTGGCGTTGCTTCGATTCCCAGACTGTACGTGACAAGGAATATGGTCGCCTTTCCAACCTCGTGGGTTTTCTCCGGGCCCTCCAGTTTCCTTCCACTGCTAAAGACCCCTACGCACAAGCGAATTATTGAAATAAAATTGAACAATGTGTTAGTACCGAGATGACGTAGTTTGTGTCGAGTGGACGTAAAACTCTTACTCTCTCTAGGAGTCGTAGTAGAAGCTGCTGGTAGTTGTAGGATTATCGGATTTTCAAAATGGTTATTTTATGTGTTCTTTATTTCTTTATTTAGACACAGTTCCCATGTTTTAACACACCTTTACAATTACATGTTGTATTATTTAGTGACTAGTTCATAAATTGTTAAATATAACTTCGAAGTTTCTAACTAATTGCATTGGGAACACAAATCTCCCTCCTCTGATTGCTTGACACACAGCGGAAACTTAAATAAGGAAGTTTGAAATGTCAACATACTTCTAATAAGATTTATTTCACACTTCTGCTACCATCTGTCATCGGGTTCTAATAAGACAATCTAACAAGTCGATATTGCCGCCAGCAGAAAAAGTATATCTCTGACGAGGCTTTGAATCATTCTATCCGCAAGGGAAGTCTTTTAATAATTTCAATGTTTTTAATATTCGCAAAAGTCCGAATTAATTCCAGATTAATTTATACTGACATTCAGAAAATCTTTTACCAACTGAGAATTTATACTTAGTTGTTAGTAAAAAGAAATTATTCTGAATATTTTGCAGATGATTACTGCGAAAACGGCCTTAAGTGATACGAAAAAAACACAAAGATCAACCCCCGGGGAAGGCAACCGTTTAAATAGTCAATGTCTCACATTTTGTGTTGTTAAAAGATTTGTGGTGTGTAAATGAATTATTTTTATGATAACATTTAGTTTTTACTAACATAAAATGTTCACGCTACTTATCATTACGCAAGACAAATTTATATTATATTCGTATCTTTTACATTATTAAAATTTTAAGAATTTTTTAGGATTTTTGTTCCCCGCCTTTTGAAAATAGGGGGGACTTTTAAAGATGGGTTCCCAGAAAAGTATTTATCGGATGGTTATTTCCAATAAAAGTATGGCAATTTTGGTATATATGGAAATTAGAGATATCAAATCTTACTAGAAAAATACTGGATTACCCGAAAAAGACTCATGGAGCGTATACAGGACAAAAATGTAAGGGTTTGTCTAATCGACAGCCCGACGATTAGGAATTTCTGCACGCGTGATGTCAAAGGTCACACGCGAACATTGAGCGCTTGATGTACAAGTTGATAAACTTTATGAAGAGTTAAACGTACAACACTTTCTGAGATAAAAAAGACGCGGGTAGTGGATAAACCGAGAATTTAATTAGGATTCGATATTTGTAATAAATAGTAAGCTATTAAAGACAACATCGTCTTATGTATGCAATGAATTCTCCTCTGACTTTCAAGAAAGGTAAGTCACTTGACGTAAACATGACCTGGTTTGATCGAAGGATTTGAAGCAAAATTATGACAAATTAATTACATGTAGTTTGAATATGTTTTTAGTCCATATATACCATTAAATCACCCAGTTTGTAAGCGGGAATATATCTTTAAAATAGGCTTGTCCGTCAGTATGTCGGTCACACTTGAGCTAGACTGTTCAAACTTTGCGTAAGTGTATATTTAGGCAAATGCTTCGATGGAACGCAGAGACGAGCATTTTCTGCTTAGGTATGCAGAGATAATTAAGCAATATGGTTGGTCGTTGCTTTGGAAAACGATAACTTTGATTCTAATTGATTTGGAGGAATGAAAATTGATGCATCAATTACAGCAATTTTCTGCTCAGGGTAACCAGGGTGATAAGGAGCACGATACCTTCAGGACACAATAACTTTGATGCTGGTTGGGCGAGAGTGGTGAAACTTGGCGTATAGTTTCATTACATCAATACCTTGACTAAGTTCAAGGATGAGCATTTCTGTTCAGGCTAAGTAGAGACATCAATTTGATAGGCCAACACATGGGAACTAGGGTGTTTCACTTTTCACTTTTTTTGGAATTTCTAAGGTTTCTACCCGTCACCGAAATCCACTTGGGGTCAAACTTACACCGTAATATTTTCAGAATTTTCTTGCCAAAAATGGCTGCCGACGGCCATTATTTCCAAAATTGCGACTATTTTCTGGATTTTTGGACGTTTTGAGCTTGACAGATCACTTAGAAAGGTCAGGTATGGCTTGTAATGTATCTATTTTATGCTTTTTAGGTATGCAGAGTCCATTCCCACTATCTTAAATGAGATAGTCAGAATCCAAGATGGTGGAAATCCAAGATGGTGCCCCAAATTCCCTATTTTCGTGACATGGAAAAGCATTTTTCAAAGACTATGTCATTCTGAACATCATTTTGGCCCTGATAATAAATTTTGCACTCATAAAATTCATTATCAGGGCCAAAATGATGTTCAGAATGACACTGATCCACCTTTGGTTGAAAATGGCTGAAGGTAATGACTGAAGGTGAAGTTCCGATGGAGTATATTCACAACACTATTAATCTGGCAGAACTATGACTGAACCTGGAAATTGTTTACAAAGTTTTTTTATGATTGATTTAAGTAGCCTAAGGTGTCCTCTTTCAGAATGTACCGGGTGAACCTCGGTAACGCTTGAGCGTTTTGAGAAATTCAAAATGGCATCCAAGACGGCCGGCATTTCTCTAAATACACTATAACCGTTCATTATGTTGTGGGGTGATTAGATGATAGTAAAATCCAAAATACCAGATAATATGGCCCTTTAACTCGTTAGCGGCGGTTGGGGGCGATTATTTCACCAAACCAAATGATATCTAGAGACAATCTATATTTCTGGACATAGGAGCATATGAGTAATATGATAACACCACATACATGCCTATCAGGAGCTCCAGGGCCACATGACAGACTCTGGTGCATGTTGGCCGGTTGTAATGTTCTCACTGTAGTAACCTTCACCCAGCAAAACAGTTCCGGATCAAGTTCCCTGCAAATGCATCATTCGTTGAGCAAGACTACATGGTTTGGGTGGGGGGGGGGGTGCTGACCATACATTTCAGTTTTGGATGTTCAATTGTGCATACCCTCCAGCGTGTTTCGGACATCGATTTGCTAGAACTTTGTCCATAACCAGCTGACATGTACAGTGGCCTGTACAAGCACAGATTCTATTAGAGCGTCTGGAGAGAGAATACAATCAAGCTCTCACCACTTTCAAAGCTATTCCTTTCCCCAAGACGTAACAGCAAGTAACTGTGTCACATCCAGTAAGAACATGAGCTGACAGGATTTCAATGGTACTGGACATGTTTCTCAGAAGTTGAACCAATGTCAACGGTTGTTCTTTCCTCGATTGGTGATTCCATTGTAAGAAGCTTGTTATAGACAGAGCTATTGCAAATCGCTGTCTGAAACACGTTGGAGGGTATAGGCATCCAAAACGGGAAATCTGTCGTCATCATCCCCACCTAAACCATGTAGTCTTGCTCCAAAGAATGATGCATGTGTAGGGAACGTAAAAACATGTCATCACCAAGCTATTGTGTGGCCTTGACTGGAAGATCGTAGTCCGCAGGAACTATATTGCTTGGTTAAGGACACTAAATTGAGAACATTACAACCGGTCAACGTGCTCCGGAGTCTGTTACGTGGTTCATCAGATGTGGA